TAGGTGCAATTACAGGTAAAGAGATGACACTAAGAGTTCTACCACAGTAGAGCAGACTGCTATTTTTAATGATAGTTATTAAAGATAAACCTGCTTTTTTCTCTCTGAGGCCTTGATAGTAGCTTTGAAGTCTGCAGAGGGACATTGAAGCTTATATAAAGGAGGCTGGAATTTTGGTATAAGAATCTGAAAGTGGGGACATTAACATGTATAATATAGACAGATCTCTTCCAGTTCTGATCATTTGCCTTTGATGCTATCCTTAGTTATTTTTTAAAGGTTAGAAATCTGAAATATACAAATAACTAATTAGCTAGATTGGTGCACACCCAATTTGTTAATGATATCACAATGCATACACAATGCCACAAACACAATACTCTCACTTAGGATATATATTGCTGTCTTTTTTTCCATTAATTTGACCTTTCAGATTTCACTGTCACATTCAAATCCTAGCAGAGATCATCATGTGATAGGAGAAAGCCTGTATTTTTTGTGACGAGATCTGGAAATTGTTGGATTTGTGTCTGAGTGATTTGTTTGGCAACGGAGTATGTCTGTATGGAATGAATTTTTATTTTTTGATAAGAATATTTGAGTGATCACTAGAAGATGTTAGCTTTCAACCCAGTGAAAAAGCATCCTAATTGTCTTTGGCAACAGCATTACCTTAAACAATTTTACTAGTGGCATTTGAGTAAACAGGAATGGAAGTAGTACCAATAGTAAGAGTGGTGTCGCATTATAGCAAGCTATGGAAATAAGCTGTGGGAAAGGAGTAGCTGTCTGAATTGACTACCCATTTTTTAGTTTTGCCTTGTTTAGAAAATAGTGCCCATAGATACGTACATATAAAAATAAACATCTGCTAGCAAGCGAAAGAGGATAGCATTTGTTTCTTGGCACATCATAGGGCTAAGAGAGTCCCTGGATGCAAGTAAGATGGTGTAGGGTTTTTTTGGGTCTTTTGGTGCGTTTTGCTTGACTAGTTTTATCTAATTATTCTTTTCATTTTTTCTAATATACATAGCTTACTATATCATATTTCCCAAACTTTGTGTTGGGATCCTCAGAAGGTCACAGAAACAGTATGTAAGCAGCTTTCCCAGAGTTAAATTATTAAACTAATAAACTTTTCACTTAAGAACCCTCAACTCTAACTAAACATAGATGTGTTACCTTATTCTTGCCTCAAGCCCTGCTACCTCTGTGGCCAGGTCTGTGCCTCCCACCGCACCAGCCCTGGCCATGACTGTCTCCTGGCCACCAGCCCTGCTGCTTTGAGCTCGGGCTGCGGCTACGCTCCCTACCATGCTCCCCAGCACTCCGGCCCCACTGGGGCTGCGCTCCCCACTGCCAGCTCAGCCTGGGCTGCAGTTCTGAATCTGCCCAGCTGGGGCTCTGGTCCAGCAATATCATGGGTGTTGCTGGACGAGAGAGTCCCAAATTTTAGAGGGTCAGCCTGTTGCTCCCGCTGGATCATGGGTGTTGCTGGATGAGAGAGTCCCAAATTTTAGAGGGTCAGCCTGTGCTCTGTCTAATCACCGTAGGAAATTTACATATGAAACATAGCATAGGACAATTAAAATATTTTCTGACTCCTTACCCACACAATTCTTGTTATTACCAGCCCAGGCAGTTTTACTTCACTAACGTTCCAGCATAGCAGCCAGATTGTGCAATTTGGGTTCTGCTCTGCCAGAATAAATTCACATGCTGGCAGCTCTGCCGGGAGGACATTGTACCTGCGTATGTAAGCATCCCTGTCAGGGGTGCACTCCCCCACCGTGCCTCAGTGCCCCCTGACTGTCCTCATCTAGCCCCTCTCAGGGCAAGTTACAGTCTATACGGGTTGCTCATCATTGGCATGGGGTTATCTTTACTGCCCCGCTTACCTAGGCTGCCTTGCAATCCGCCTCCAGACCTTGGGCCTTGCCTCCGGCTCCTAGCCCAGGGGAGTCTTGGCTGGCCCTCTCCCAGCCCTAGCTGGCTATCTCCAGCTGGTCTCCCTCCTGGGAGCTCCTGCTTCCTCTGCAGTCAGCCCTTCACTGGTCCCCTCTCTAAGCAAACTGCTTCTTTATATAGCTGCCAGCTGGGTTCTCACTCGCCCTAATGGCTTCAGCTGGCCTCTCCAAGCCAACTGTGCTGCCCTAGATATCTGCCAGCTGGGCTATCACTTGCCCTAACAGCTTCAGCTGGCCTCTGTTTCCAGCCCGGGCTCAGGGTCTGAGTCCTGGTCTTAAAGGGCCAGTGCAGGGCAGGTGCCCTGTCACAATCCCCCAGGTCAAACAGCAGTACAAGTCTGGGGCTTTCCTGACCTTGCATTGTCTTGTACCGGTATTTGAAGAGGGAAAACAAATTTGTTCCACAACTGGTGTGGGTTGCAGTGGTTTTATATTAACTTCACAGATTGGTTTCTTTTTTTTTTTTTTTATGCTGGACACTGTGCTGTCACCCCTTTTGCATCAAATTTTTAACTTACTTGGCAGTGGTGATACAAAAAGGCAAGCTTTGTGACTCCATACTATTTACTGCTCATTTTACTTTTTATAATATACTAATTCTGGCTCCTAGAAATGAAGCCTTACCCACGTCCAATTACTACTGTGAAGCCGGGCCTCCAGTAAGTAGTCCCATTGATTAGTGAGATTATTTTTATACAGAGATAGCTTATGCAAAAGTTTGCAGGAGAAGGTCCTTGTTTAGCATAGCAGTATTTCTCAGCCTCTTTTTGTCTGAGGTAGCCACAACACGCTATTAAAAACTCCACAACTTAGCTGTGCCAAAACTGTTTTTCTGCATATAAAAGTCAGGGCCTGTGTTAGGATGTAGCAAGCAGGGCAGTGATCTGGGCCCACATGCCACAGAGGTACCACAAAGCTAAGTAGCTCAGGTTTTGGTTTTAGCTTTGGGTGTGGTGCTCAGTGCCCTGAGTTGCAGTTCCATGCAGTGTGACTTCGGCTTTCTGTTCTTGCCTCTAGTGTATCTAACACTGGCCATGGTTGGAAAATCCCTTGAAACCTACTTATAGCCCCCCAGGGACCCTTGATTTCTGTTTCAGAACCTCAGCAATATCTGCTGTTTAGTAGCTATCAGAGTTTGCCTTTCCTTTACTCTTCACATTGAATGGTTGATGCGCAATGACACATTTAGTGAAAATTTTAAAAAGCGAGTTCAAAACTTGCAATGTTGTTTTAAAATATTAAACATTGCCGACAATCAGTGCGTAGTCATTTTGGGTGCATGGAATTTTTTGGCCGACAGGCTCTAGTATTTTATATATTCTAGCATATAAAATGTGCAGAGGAAATATGTTAGATGCTGCAAGGAAGCAAAGCTCCTGAGTTAATACAAGCTCTTACAATAGTCCCACAAAAGAAGACCAATTTGGCTATTAGCTAATTAGAAGCCCTGTTTTTTTTCTTTCGTTTCAGTATCATTTAGTTCTTTCCACAAAGGTCACAACATTTCTTAAATTCAAAAGAAGTGTTGGCACTTCTGCCCAGTTTGTATGTTTACCTGAGCAGTAATGAATAAACAGATTTTCTGATTTTTACATGTTTAATGAATACTACTGTCGAAGCAAAAACACGCTCCTCTCTGTTTAGGCGGCTAACAACTGATTTGCTTTATTGATCAGTAAAGCAAAGTGATCCAAATGTGGTCCCAGCAAAGTCGGACCCAGTAAAGCTGCTAATACAATCAATCCTAGTATCTTTATACCCTTAGCCAAACAATCTGACGTCAGGGCATCCAATTACAGAAATCCTCAATTAAATTTGGAAAAACAAAGCCTTATCAACAAGATGGCAGACAGGTACGAGGGAGTACATCTCCTGTCCCAACCAGCCCAATTAACACATACCAATAGCCCATCCTGTAGGCCTCTTCTCACGGGGTGACAGAAAGTTCACTCTGGTCTACGTGCTTGAGAGAAAAGCTGAAATGGTTTCTGATATACAAGATGGCTTCTAGCTAAATATGAAATAGCTTCTACACTACGATCATAGAATACTAGATCTGAAAGGCACCTTGAGAAATCTTCAAGTCCAGTTTCCTGCCCTCATGGCAGGACCAAGCATCATCCACATCATCCCTGACAGACGTCTGTCTTACCTACTCATAAATGTCTTCAGTGAAGGAGATTCTATAACCTCCCAAGGCAATTTATTTCTAGTGCTTAAGTGCACAACAGTAAGGAAGCTTTTCCTAATGAGCTGCAATTTAAGCCCATTGCTTCTTGTGCTATCATCAGAGGTCAAGGAGAATAATTTTTCTCCTTCCTCCTTGTAACACCCTTTTAGGTACTTAACAGCTGCTATCATGTTCCTCCTCTGACTTCTCTTTTCCAAATTAAACAACCCTAGGTGTTTCAGTCTTCCCTCATAGGTCTTTTTTTCTAGACCTTTAATAATTTTTGTTGCTCTTCTCTGGACCCTCTCCTATTTGTCTACATCTTTCCTGAAATGTGGTGCCCAGAACTGGACATAATACTCCAACTGAGGCCTAATAAATGCAGAGTAGAGTGGAAGTCTGACTTGTGTCTTGCTGACAACACTGCTGTTAATGCATCCTAAAATGATGTTTGCTTTTTTGCAGCACTGTCACACTGTTGACTTGTAT